ATCACAAAAACGAAACTAAACAGATTAGATCTAGCACAAGCTTATTCGCTATGTCTGTGTCACTTAGGCGAAGCGACTCAACGCCCCTACGACAATTTCTCGCCTCTCGTCATCATCACATAGATCTAGCACTTCTTCTTTTTCAATTTCGCAATTCACTTCTTAGTCTTTTTCTCTCTCAATTGTTTTGTCTTAACTCGTTTCTATGGATCGAAATCTAAAATCATGAATTAAGATGGTGTTTCTTCTTAGATCTTAAATACTCGTGAATCTCTGATAAACTTCTCACCGCCATCCAAACTGAGTCGTCGCTGGAGATTGACATATATAGTTAACTATGTTCAAAAATATGTGTAATAGGTAACTATGTTTATAATATATAGTTAACTATATACGTTATGTTTTTATTATAATAGATAACTATGTCTCTGATAATAGTTAACTTTGTTTTTTTCATTATGTATACTATAATAGATAAACTATATTTCTAATAATAACTAACTATGTTCTTTTTCATTATGCAAACTATAATATATAACTATATTTTCAATAGTAGTAACTATATATATTATTTTTTTCATTATGCAAAATAAATAGTTGACTATGTTTGTTTAAATAAATAACTATTACAAATAACAATATGTAGTCAACTATGTAATGAAATCGGGATAGTAGACAAATTATGCTCGAACTAGTTAACTATTATGCTGCTAACTATTGTTTTCTTGTAGTCAACTATGTATTGAAATCAATAGAATAGAGAAATATGCTCTGAAAATAGTTAACTATATTTTTTAAATTTACAAATAGTATGCGTAGTTAACTATGTTATTAAATAGTTAACTATTACAACATATTTGTTTTTTGTTTAATTTTGTCATCTTTTGATTTTTTTATTTTTTTTTATGCATAACACACATCTACTTTTTGTAGAAATATAATCGCACGAGTAGTTTTTTTAGTGATTAATTCAAGAGAAGAATGTCGGAGATTTTTTTAAGGAATTTTTACTATTTTTCTTAAACAAAAGATTGTCATATCATAGTTTTTTACTACTTTTTCTAAATAATTTCGTAAGGAAAAATTTGTCCAGATTTTTCTTCTCCCTCCTAGATACCTAAATTTTATTATGCACATGGTAATTACCTAAATACCTACCACAAAATTAATGTTAAGTTAATGAACCCAATTTACCATCTAATTAAAACACAATAAATTAAAATAATTAATATAATTAATTAAAACAATTATATTAAATCATTAAATCCTAAAAAGCTAAATCATAAATACTAATCCTAAACCCTAAACCCCAAATTTTAAATCCTAAACTCAAATACTAAACCCCAAATACAAAGCCCTAAACCCTAAACCCCAAAAACTAAATCCAAAACCGAAATACTAAACACTAAACCCCAAATAATAAACCCTAAACCCCAAATACTAGACCCTAAATCCAAATAGTAAACCCTAAACTCCAAATAATAAATCCAAACTTCAAATACTAAACCCTAAACCTCAAATACTAAACCCTAAATACTAAACCCTAAACCTCAAATAGTACCCCAAATAATTAATATAATTTGTGGTTTAAGGTTT